TTAATGAGTGCCTTAATGAATTACGTATTGCGTCTGCATATATTTACAACATCATTTAGTAGAAGATCGTAAAACGTGCAATGAATAAATTTGTTTCAATTAAAATTTTACGATGTGTCTTTTTCATTTTTCATGGAAATTATTGTCGTACCTATGAAGAATTTTTGGCAAACATATATGAAAGATTTCTTAAGATGATTATTTTAATGGATAACATTCGAGTTGTTTGATTATGTTATCTATCGAGATAGAATTATTTTACATAGAGTTTATTAACATAATATAATAATATTATATTAGGCGCTATATAATAGAAGAAATAAATATTTTATTATGTAGGATATACGCACGTGCAAATTGCTTGGTCCAACACTCGTGTTTTCGGACATAATAACTGTTATAATGTATACACTATGCCTGCATTCACTAATATTAAGAACGTATCACCTGGTAACCACCTGTTATATTGGTCACTTCAAAGATACAAATTATAATTCGATTTCACATTAATAAAAGTTTAAAACATACATTTGATTACCAGTACATTTCAATAAATGTGTCTGATAACTTATTACTTGAGTGAATGAGTGCACACTTTAAAACTTTGGCGTTTTTCTATTGGATGATGAAATAAACGCGATCCAAGGACGATGTTACAGATATGTCATTCTTGTGTATTCTGCAAAATCATTTCAAGGACATTTGCATTTTTAAAATACGTAAAAAAAATGAGAACGACTATATAGGTTATCGCATGTGAACTTTCTAATAATAACCATTTTAGAAAATATGTGTTTGTACTATGTAATACCCTAATGAGATAGACCACCAAATAATTTTGTAATCATTAATACAAAAATCAGTTGTTCTGATGTTTTAATTATACGTACTCTTATTTTGCTATACATTAGATGGTTACATTTACGACGTTTTTATTATAAAATAAAATAAATAATTTAAAAATGTTAGAAATAAAAATTTTTAATATACATTATACACTAAATATGCATGGGTACATATACAAGGTTAACAAAAAATGCAACATATTATGCGTTACATAATGATTCTTACAATTCCTTCCTTTACTTCGATAAATGCGTATATGATCTTACAAACGAATAAATGTATCATTAGACAATTATTTATACACTTCTTTATTTTTAATTATTTTAATTTGTAACTGTATATAATTATATTAATTTGTAACTCTAATAAAATCATGCATTCTGTATGTACTTATGAATACACCATGATACGTTGTATGCATTTGCATAACAATGAACATACTTCGTAAGTAGCGACATCTTGAAAGTTCTTATATCATGTAGGTTAGTCAACAATAAAGGTTAGGTATATCGAATGTTGATGTAAACAGATCGGCGAATTTGCAATATGATTGTATAGTTTTGTCATCACATTTAGTCTCGTGATTTTTGACGTATTTTTAATTCAATGGCAGTTTTGCATCGTGCGTTATTCACGTGGTTTAATCTTTTGATTTTCTTGATTCTACTTGTTTTAAGACTTGATCAGAGGATACAATGGAATTGGTTCATAGTTTTTATTCCAATGTGGTTGTACGATCACATACTTTTGGTTTATATTATCTTTAACATGATTTCTCATTGTAAAAATGGACATGTTGTGAATTTACGTCGGGAAGTAAGTTGAATCATAAAATATAAGTAAAAACAAATACAATGAACTACTTCTTGTCATATAACCAGTTTTATCAAAAACTGTTAGAATTTAGTCACATGTATATGAATTGTAAATTTTACTACTTAATTTTTTAATAAAAGTATGAAGAAAGTTTATCTTTTACTTTGTAGTGTGTTATTTCCCTAATTTTATAAGTGAATAAAAAATATAACACTTATTTCTTTACAATAGTAAAGAAAATTAATGTATTATTGAATCACAAGTTATATGTAAAACTTATTGAATTAAAATGAACATTATCTGTGAATCAACATTTAAATTACTCATTGTGAAATTAATTGTAATTAAAATATTTCCTTACAGGAATATAATATTTAATATAGAAAGTTAAATATAATTATTCATTTTGATGGAACTGGGTATTTATCATATTTTATAAAAACTGAAAATAGTTTTCTTTCAGGCATGGTACATGACAGCTGTGTTTATGAAACTAAGCACCCAAATTTTAATATGTTTGAAATTAGAAGCACCACATTGGTTTCTACCAGCAAAAGTTGTTTTGGCACCATTTTGGGTTCTTCTTCCTGCATTGGCAGTTGATGTTTTTGTACATCTGATACAACATTACCGGTATTAACAATGGCCAAATCACAGTTGATTCAAAAATATTTAAATAAGTGTATGGAATATTTATCATATTTTATTGAATGTATTTTATGTGAATTAGTTATAGAAATTTACACTGACACTACTAAGGTTATATTAATTCAATTTATTAACAGTGGTTTATGTTTTTATTATATTTAAGGATAACTTAACTTTATTTACTTATACAAAACATTTGAAATATTTGACTGATGTCTTACATTTAATATTTGACTTATATTGAATTGTTAACTTATATGTACATGTTATATAATGATTAATAAGTAAAACAAGTGTAAGGACCACCTTGACACTAGGGTTTACCTTACATACATGTATTTTTTTAATAGTTAAAATGATGAAGCATATAGTGCCCTTTCAGATAGTGTGGTAGTCACAAGATGCCAGTCTAACTTACTATAAATACTCTATTGCACAAGGATGAATAGGACAAAGATATAAATAAGTAACTCTACAGCAGCTTCATTATTAAAGCTTTTCTCTTTAGTTCACAAGACTGTCATCATTTACAACCAGTGATTTCAATGTTTATTAGTAAAAGTTTTAAAACAATAAATAAACAACAGTGAAAGACTATTCAACATTTACACAATTACCTTTACAGTTATGCAACATGGTTCATTGACAAGTATCTTCTGCTTGTATTGTGCATAGAACAATTGTTCTAGTGACCATCTGTCACATTCAAAACCAGTTGCACACTATTGAAATTCTTACATTAAGGTGATCAGTACAATTAGAATGTAATTGTTATGTACTAGAACATGATGCTAACAATGTAAAACATTTTGCTAGCTTAGTTGGTGGAATAAGTTCTGTAGCACAGTTACATAGTATTCCTACATTTTGACTATGAGTTTAATTTTCTTAAATTAAACATTCCTTTTACGTGAGTGTAAAAGTTATGAAGTCATAAAGTGAATAACAAAGTTTCATGTTAAATTTGCAAAAGTAGACATTAGTAACATGCAACAGGTAGAATGACTAAAAATGTTTCCTAATACATATTTTAAATATTTACATAAACTTCAATACTCCAAAAATTATCAACAGTAAATTTTGTATAATTATAAATTAAACTTATGGATATTAAAATGTATAATTTGAGCTTGATGTTTATTAATGTTTGCTTAAAATCATAAGTTCTACTCTATTTTGGTTAATAATTTTTTAATTGCCATTTTATTTTACAGATGAGTGTAATATGTTTTATATTTTTTTATTTGTCACTGTCATTATTGAAAAGTGGGGTTGATGGAGCCACAGTTACTGTATTAGAAGTTCCAGCTGGTCATTTAGCTGAACTTCCATGTTTGAGCAGTGATGATCATCATCGTTTTATGTTTTGGCAACTCAAAGATGATCACCGCATTATTGGGCCTGGGAATGCAATGGATGAAAACAAATACAATTATGAAGTGTTAACAGGAAAACTTTTTATTAGGGTAACTAATTGTTATAAATAATATGAAGTATTCTACAACTTTATTCTAAAAGATTAAGGTGTTTTTTATTAGGGTGTTTCAACATATGAATCTGGTTTCTATAAGTGTATTTCAAGAGGTATACTAGATCATTCTGCTATTAATATTCATGTAGTTGAATTAGTAGTCAAGAAAGATTGGGAAGATGTTTATGAAAATGATTTTGAGGTATACTAAGATATTTTAATTTAATAAGTATATCTTCAAATTTCACTTATTTTAAATATATTTTCTTCTTGTAGACAAATTTGTTACGTGGAATGGCTGCAGTTATGGTAATTGTTGTTGGTATAGCTGTTGCTCTTTACATTATCACAACAAAAAGGAGGCGAAATCGCAAATTTTTTGGTACATAGTTATGAATATTTAAATCGAATTCAAATATGAAACAAAAAAGTTTATTTATTACATATTAAACATCAAATTGTTATTACAGATTTAGAAGAATCAAGAGAAAATTCTCCTGCAAAATATACACCAAATCTTGGTCCTTCAATACCTCCACCAATACCTGAAGAAAGCGGAATTGATAATGCAGCTCTTGATATTGATTTTCCAAGAGTATTTAGACAAATGCAAAAATAATGAAAAATTTTGTAGCATATTCGAAGTAATTTTTTTTATAGCAGATTGTAAAATATTGTATAAAAAACACACACACATCATATGTTTATATATGCATTGGCTTTACAATTGTGCCATGGGGACATAAAACGTAAATGATCATTTCATAACTAAAAAATTAACTTTACCTAAGGTTTTCTAGATAAAAAATCACATCACTGTACATATATTTATATATATAAATACTGATTAAACTGTTTAACAAAATGTTTTATTATTTAAATAACTATAAAATAATTACATTTTTTTAATCTTTTTGTCACGTGTGTGCTTTTTGTAAACATTTTTATTTTCACAGTGGTTGTATTTACCATATTTTAATGATTTTTATGCAAATCTGTTTACTGAGAACTTCCAGGTATTCCATGACTAGTACCCAACATACTATCGTTAGTCACATCTTCTTCATCCTCTTCATCTTCCTCATCTTCCGGTTCTACTTCCATTTCTAGTAATCTTATTTTTCTATTGTTTTCACTTAAAACAGCAGCTACTTTTCGTGCACCGCTAACAGCTAGTCGTCTAGCAGATATACCTTGGAAAGATCGTGGCCAACTGTTACTTAAAAGATCTGTTAAACTAACCGGACTTTTGTCTTGATTTTCAAAAATTCGGACGTGGTTTAATGGCAACTGTACAAGTTGGGATGCATGTGTATGTTTATTGAGTAGCAGTAAGCTAAGATAGTCACTAGAATAAAATTGCAAATCAACCACAGTACTGTCCATGTAAGACTTTGAATAAGACTCTGTTGAAGAAAACATTATATTAGTCCTAAGACTTAAATCGTTACATATATTTGTAATGAAGATACAAACCTGATCTGTGATCTACATCTACTGTGCCCAACTTAAAGTTGAGGGAGATAGGTTCTGTATGTAAACATTCGATTCTAAAAAGTCTTAATATTTTATGGTCTATGTCACATACAGCTACTAACAAACCATCATCGTTTGTTGCAATTTGAGTTGATGTAAATCCTATAGATGGTGCTAAAGCAATGTTTGATATAGTAAAATATTCTACTAGTCCTTGATAAGCCTCTCGAAAAACATTATGTATAGCAGTAATCAATTTTGCATGAGATTGTAATAAAGAATAATCAAGATCCTGTTTCACAATAAGCGGATGGTCACGAAGACAATGATTTTCATCGAGCATAGCTGCCCATTCGCTTCCTTCGGGAGTTAAACATGTTTGTAAATTTTCACGTCGTAAGTATTGGCCTAATTTTTCTAAGTTCACTCCTTTTCTTCCTCCAACACCGGGTTCAGTTTTATCGAAACCACGCAAAAATTCAGCAATAAACGTTAATTCTTGTTGACTGACACGGCTTACTTCAGATGGTATTCTTTCATCTGTTAGCCTTAGAATTACAACATACAACCACCTTAAATAAAAAATGAAGGAAAGAATTCAAATAAGAAATATATTCTTGATAATACTTAAAATTTTTAACATATACCGAAAAAATGCTTTATAATCACGCATACTATGATCAATGACTTGTTGAATTTCTGAAGACTTTGCTAAGAAAGCTTCTGATGCATGAAGAGCATTAGTAATGATATTTTCATCAGTGAGTCCTAGTAATTCGTACGCACCACCCAATCTCACCATTCCTCTCATTTCAGCTAACTGATATACCAAGGCCATTCCAACACTAGTTAAGTTTTTTAAGACTAATTTCTGTAAAATAATAATTGATTATCATGATATACATAAATTTTATAAAATATTAACTGTTGTATGTTATACCTGTATATTACTGTAACACATTTCAATGCTATGCCCTAATTTTTTTAATCCTTTTTCAGTCAAATCACGTAACAAAAAAGTCTCTAAGTTCTGGGTTGGTACACCAATCATTAATAGCTCTAAAAAATCTGCAGCAACTCCACCAGGTGGATTGGCCTCTGCATACCGTGCAAGCTTTTCATCCATTTCTAGGAGAATTGTTTCCCAAGCTTCGGAAATTGCCATTAACGTGCGCGAAAGATAATCCATCAAGTATTCAATATTAGCTTGAGCTTGTGCTACCTCAGGTTTAAATAAAGAATCTTATAGAGATTTAATATTTAAAAAAAATAAAATTTTTAAATATATTATGCAAAGAACCTTTAAAAATGCTGTGCTCTTTTCTAATAATGGACACCACAATCTACTTGCTTTGATACCACTGTTGTCTTTCCATGTGACCCACATTGGTTTACCAAAACCACCATTAATTTCCAATATTCTACCATGGCCAACAGAAATTATACCACAATAGAACATACCAAATACATACATAGCAAGATTTCCATCATCTAAACCAAGCTAAAAGGTGTATAATTATTTATGGTGTATAATATAAAAATTTTAAAGGAATAGTAAATATATTACTTACAAAAAGTATATCTAAAGTTTGAGATAAAAATTCTTTGCGCTCTGCTTCTTGACCAAAACTTCTATTTAAGCTAGGTAAAGGTGGAAGATATTCTCCTGTTGGTAGCATGTTTGTCCTGTTACTATTTAATGAAGTATCATTTTCTGGATTTGTTAATGGTAACCACATCATAGATGTAATTGCATTGTGCAATGTGTGCTTTGTTCTATGAATAATATTCTTATTTTCAATATCTACAAGACATAATAATTTTGAAGTTTCATAACAAATTGCAAGAAGTTTTCCATCAGGTCTCCATGCTAAATTCACTACAGTATCAGATTCTTCTGGAGGACTTAATAACCATACCCTTTGCCATGTTAATCTATGCAGTGTAACTTCACCTGCAATAATTATTTTGATAGAGTTAACATTATTTACAATATTACATAGTATTATAACATAACATTATATAAAATTAATATTTTGATGTATTAAACTTAATATCAATGTGCTTTTAGAACTTTGTGTTGTTTCCAAGTTTAGAAATCTAACCTTTTACATTTGCGATTGCTAAAAGATCCATTTTTGGGGACCATTGCATTCGTGTTACTTCGGCTGGAAGTTGCCGTTCCTCTAATTGTCTCATGCTACCTGCCATTTTTGTAATTTTGATCACTCTTTAACTTGCAACAACATTCTGTCAACTATTGAGTACTGAAATTTTTAGGTTATGTTTGTCATCGATGTCCTCTGTATACAAAACAACATTGCGTACACAATATAGCATACACAAGCATTGCTTCTATGTCTAACAATAAATTCAAGAGATGTTCAAACAAGGCAGATTTATGCACATTCATAAAACATGTACATGTATACGTATATAATAGGCACTAAAAAAATTAAGCTTTTTATATGCAATTTTAGAATTTTTGCTTTTATCACATTGAAGGTATTATTTAATCATATCTGAAGCATAAACTGAGTAAAACCACAAAATATTTTGGATAATTTATTTTTCTAAAATACTCAACGAAATTGATACATTATTGTCCATTATTTTTATTAAAAATTATATGTTATTTAAAATTGT